GGAGTGCTCAGGGATTACCAGATTACCATTGCTTCCCTTTATTTTAGATTTTGTTTCTGTTTTTGGAACACAGCCAGTGGTACTCAGGGCTTACTCCTGGCTCTGCTCAAGGATCACTCCTGTCAGACTGAGGAGACCATAATGGGTGATGAGGATTGAACTTGGGTTGACCTTGTGCAATGCAGCTGCCCTACATGCTGTACTGTTTCTCGGCCCAACTTGAGATTTCTTTTTCACTAACAAAGCACTACCATATTTTAATTTCACTTTACCTGGGGGACGTTGGGCCACACTTGGCGGTGTTGAAGGTTACCTTTGGCTCTGGGTTGCTCCCAGCAGTGCTTGGGGACCTGAGCAGTGCCAGGGATAGAATTGGGGTCAGCTGCGTGCAAGACAAGAACCTTAACCCTTATACAATCTCTTCAGCCCTTATTTTCTAAATTTTTTAATAATCTTTAAAGGGGAAGAAGTTCATCTGGGAGTTCTGAGAAAACTAAAAAATAAAATTATTCTTATGACTAGTATTTCATCCTCCCACCCAACTTCCTGAAAAGCCTCTGAAGGGAATATAATAGGCAGTGTAATTTATTGAGAAATCTTGCCCATTTCCTTAGATTGAGACGCCATCCTGCGCCAGACATGCTGATGTCATCTGGTAACCCAGAATATCACCCAGGGTAGAGTTTTGTTCCCCATTATGATTCAGTAGATTGAATTTCAATGCTTAATTTCTTGTACGAGATATCTCAATTGACTGAACATAGACAAATGAATTAGAATGAGGATGAATCACACTCGTTAATAAAAGAATTTAGATCAAATCTTGGAGTAATTCTTTCAAAACAGCACTTTGAAGGAAAAAAGAGTACATTCACTCGAAGTAATTTTTAGACTGGCGCTCTGGCTCAGTAGTAGAATGCATGCCTTGCATGTATGAGGCCCAGGATTTAATCCTCGTAACAGCACCCCCACCTATACTTAAACTTATTTTTGGTGGGGAGTTTTTGCCACACCCAGTGGTGGTCGAGGTTACTTCTGGCTCTGCACTCAGGAATTACTCCTGGTGGTGCTCAGGGGACCCTCTGGGATGCTGGGGATTGAATGGAGGTCGGCCATGTACATCGCAAACACCTACCAGCTGTACTGCTTCAGCTCCCCTGCAGAATTTTTAAAGTGAAATAGTTTTGCGCTTACAATTTTTGAGAAGCCATGGAGATTGTGTAGGCATCGGGGTTAAGAATTGGACATATGGAAGTCCTCGAGAGATAGTACAGCTAGTAAGGCCCTTGCCTTGCATGTGACTTACCTGGAATTAGTCCTCAGCACCCAGTGGTCCTCTAAACCCTACCGGGAGTAATCCTTGAGGGCAGAGCGAGAATGTATCCCCCAAAAATGTGGGGGGGTATATAGCTATGGGCTAGCAAACTAGTACAGGAGATTTTATGGCCCTGTATCACATAATGGTCTGAGCACTGCCAGGGATCAGGCCAAGTACAAGCTGAACATAGCTCTTGAGCACTGTTGGCTGTGACCCAACCTGCACACCTCCCCCAGAAAGTGGGCATATAAAAAAGGACACAGAAGAATTCTATCTTGAAAGATGAAACAGTTTTCGCATTAAATCTTGAGATTTGGAAAGAGGAAAGTGTATTTTATAAGGTAATATTTTTTCACAGCATGTTATTTGAATAAACTATAAAACATTTTATAATATCTTACATAATCAGCATCATCTTGAATATAACTATAGGTAAGCAAGCAGCTTTAAATCATTTAGCCTTCAGAATTGTTTTAAGGTGTGTCTTCAAGGAAGTTTGAATAAGGAACTTGACTAGGCGGAAATTCTGCACAAAGTATTTACTGTGAATTTATTGACATTTCATTGCCCAGCCTTTCCCAGAGGAAAAAAAATAATAAAAAACATTTCACTCTGAAAGCAGGGAGATAGGTCACGGGGCTAGGGCTAGGCCCAGGCTTTATCACTTGGTCCCAAGTTCTACTGGGAGAGGGATCCCCAAGTAGTAAGCCCCCAGGTATCACCAGTGTAGCCAAAAGCCACCTCCCCCCAAAGAAAGTAAAAAACGTTCTACGGGACCATGTGGTGACAGGGATTGAACCCAGGGCTTCTGCATGCAAATGTGGTCCTGCTCCCTCCCAGCACCTTTCAGCCCTGGGAGGGAAAAAAAGTTTCCTCTGCACCGGCCTTTGCCTAATCCATTTTGCTAGTTTTGATGCAGTTGTGTATTATGCAATTCCATAGTTTTTCTAAGGTTTCTCTCTTTATCCCCATCTTTCTCTCTCTATTTGGTGATAAGATTTAATGATTGTGTGGTGAACTTGAACATGGATATGCCACATAACCGTGTGCACTAGCTCTTTAATGCAATATTTACTATAACTGGTTTGAGAATTCAGTGTAGACAGATATATTGAGAGAAGAAACCTTAGAATTAGTTCTTTCTTAATCTGTGTATGTGTATTTTTGCACAGAAACATAGAAATGTGGAGTGGCCGCCACATTTGATGGTACTCAGGGCTGACTCCTGGCTTCTGCCATCAAGGGATCACTTCAGGTGGGTGTTGGGGATTGAACCCAGGTTCGCCACTTGCAAGGCAAGTGCCCTGCCTGCTGTCTGATCCCTCCAGTCCCACCAGGAGTATGTTTTTTATGTATTTTTTCTTCCCTGGCATATGACTCAAGAGGAAAGTTTTGGAGTCAAATATGGCACCGTGATTTTAAAAAAAGAAAAAATTACGTTGTAAATGTTGCCTCCAGCATCACCAGAAAAAAAAATTTTTTCAGTCAGTAACAAAATTCAAAATTTTTTAAAAAAAATTTAAATAACAAAACTCATTTGGAAGTCATCAAGATAGCCCCAGTGGCACAGTACATGCCCTAGACCTGTGTTTCCCCAAGCAACACCAGCTGTGATTCCAGTGGCCACTAGTACAGCTAAGCCTGGGAACCACCCATTGCGTAGGAGTCATGTCTGTTTAAAGGTCTTTGTAAAGGTCTGTTTAAAGACCTTTGAAGAGTGGGGGAGGGCGGGCAGTGACCGGAAAGGCTGACGTTCATTACTACAGTCTCTATAGTCTGGTCTGCGTGATTTGCGTTGCTTCTCCAAGGCAGTAAAGAGGATTTCTAGATCCCGAACAGTAGAACTTTTCTCGACTTGCTTTACTCTTGCTAAACTGTTTGTAATACCTGCCAAGATGTAGTAAATCACCAGGATTTTATGAAAGTTATCCTCCAATAAATTATGTATTCTGAAGTAAGTTCTAGTTTAATCTTAATTAGGCAGCTCAATTGTATGAAGCCAGTTATTAGTATTTCTTTTTTAGACTCTGCCAGAACTGCCAAAGTAGCCGTCATGATCCCCAGTACCCCAGTATCGCCCACACCTGCCCAGTGGCGAGTATCAGTCAGACTGGACAGATTACTGGATGCCCAGGAATTTGGGGCCAGAGCCAGCAGAGGGAGCTCAAGGCTAGAGCACATGCTGGAGCACCTCCCTGCTGGAGGCTGATATCCTCCTGGGCAGCGCCCCAGGAGTAGCCCCTGAGTACCACAAGGTGTGGGAGCCCCAAAACACACAGACCCCAAAGACATCATCCAGTTTCTCCAAGCCATATTAGGAAAAATGGAATCATCAGGCAGTATATAGTAGTGGGGTGAATATTGTCTTTTTTGAGAGAGGACCAAATCACTTTCTTGAAAGATAGAGGTAGATGTTTAGTACGACTTTTTAAAAAGTTAAAGGTAGCTCCAAGAGCACGTACTTCCGGGTGGCCAAAAAGTCACCATCTTGGCTATGCAAAGCCAATGTAAGACTTAGCTCTCAGTGTCACTTGTGTCCCAGTGTTTGTCAGAGAGAGACACTACAGCAGATTCAGGTGCCCTCGTCTTGTGCAGTTACCAGAAGAATTGGGTATTTATGAGCCTGAGAGTTAGTCCAGGGTTATTGTTGTCTTGCAAGCAGCCAAACCCCATCCTGGTTCCCTGGCATACAAATGGTCCACCAGGCATTTCCTGGAATGAGCTCTGAGCACTTCCAGGTGTAGTCCAAAAACAAACAAAACAAAGAATCGGATGTTAGCAATAAACCTTGAGGTCACAGTAGAATGAGGAAGTTCAGTTTAAAAGCCCCAGTTCTGTGGTAATCTCCAAACTTCCTTCCCCAACTCTCTGCTTCACTTTTCAGATGCAAATATGGGCCTTCTCTCTGGGGGAACATAACATTTAAGCCACTTTTTTAGTTTAAACTTTTAAAATTAAAATCACCAAAAAATTAGATATCTCAAAATTTTTTTTAATTTTGGAGGGGGAGGATGGGGGCCATACCCAGCTATGCCCAGGGGTTACTCCTGGTTGTGCACTCAAGAATCATTCCTGGTGGTACCCAGGAGACCTTATGGGATGCTGGGGATCAAACCCAGATCAGCCACGTGCAAAGCAAATGCCCTCCCTGCTATATTATCACTCTAGCCCCTTTTGGCTAGTTCTGAAGTGTGTTTATAATCGCCTTCACTGAAGGGAGGAAATCACTACTCGGGTGGTTACTATATTTCAGACTTTGTACAAAATGCTTTCTCATACCGAACATCTTATTATGCCTCACAGCAAACTTAGATAGATCTTAGTGTCTGCATTTCACAGATGAGAGCGTTGCCTTTGAGAAAGGTTCAGTAGCATATCCAAAGCATCTAGCAAAACTAGTTTATGCTACACCACCCATCAAAATATCTTGCAAATCAGGTAATGCTTTGGAGGAATAAAGGCGCAATTTTTTTTTTTTTGCTTTTTGGGTCAAATATTTTATATATTTTTTCTTTATTTGTATTTGATATTTAGAGTGATGAAAATGGGTTTCAAAGAAGTAAAAATACTCAAAAATTAAAAGTCAAACCATAAGTATTACAAAGATTTTTAAGTCAGACCACTCTCAGTATGCTTACTACGAATCTTCCTCTCTCAGAACAGTTTCCTCTCCCTTTTCCAGGGCTACACGTCTTTCTGGAATGATTGTATATCATCTGGCCTACGCGGGGGAATCCTCATAGAGCTGTCCATGAGGGGTCGGATCTATCTGGAACCCCAGACTATGCGTAAGAAGCGACTGCTAGACAGAAAGGTACAGCACCCTGTGGGACTGTTCTCTCCTGTGGGACTGTTCCCTCTTGTGGGACTTCCTCTTAGCTTAAGAAAGGGTAGGTTCCTAGCAGCTGGTGAGCTGGCCTGAGTTCACCACTCAAGCACCTGCCTGGCATGTGTGAGGCTCTGGGCTCAAACCCTGAGACCATGTGGTCCTTATTAGAGGGAGGGAGAAATGTAGGAAGGGAGGAAAAGGAAGGAAAGAGGAGGAAGAGAGAGGGGCAGTTTCTAACATTCCACATTTGAAGAAATAGGGTTTGCGTAGTGAGATAAGGTAAACATTTCTGACTCAGCTGTCCTGCTGACTCAGATTCGGGTATCCCACAACAACCAGGAACCAAGGCTCAAAATTTGGAGCTGGAGAGAGAATGCAACAAGTAGGGCTCTTGCCATGCATGCGTCCAATGTGGGTTTGATCCCTGATACCCAATAGGGTCCCCTGAGCCCCACCAGCAATGATTCTTAAGCCCTGAGCACCACTAATGTTAGCTTAAAATATTTGCGGGGGGCATGGGGGGTGATGGGCGGGAACCTGGGGACATTGGTGCTGGGAAATGTACACTGGTAGAAGGATGGGTATTGGAATACTGTATGACTGAAATCATCGTGAACAGCTTTGTAAGGGTCTGTCTCACAGTGATTCAATAAAAAAGTTCAAAAATATATATTTTTCAATAATTGTAAAGGCAGAGGAGACAGCTCAAAGGGCTAGAGTGCACGGTATGCACATGGTGGTGCTGGGAACCACATGGTTTCCCCCAGCACTGCCAGGTGTGCAACCCCCACCCTAAAAAAATTAAGAAGTTTGTGTTATTTTCCTTTCAGTACAGTCATCACACTTCAAATACTAGGGCAGGAGTGAGAGTACACTCCTGGGTAGGGCTTTTGCCTTGAGTGCTGCCGACCCGGGTTCTATTCCCAGCGTCCCATTTGGTCCCCCAGGTACTACCTAGCCTGTAGTAAGTAGCTCCTGAGTATCGTTGGGTGCAGTCCAAAAATGAAAGAAAAAAAAAAGAGCAAAAACACACTTAAAATACTGTCGATCATTTCTCTGTTTGTGCCTCTACTGTTGTGAAGTGGAGTATTATATAGACAGGCAGACACGTCAGCAGGAACAGTCTCTGCTGGACTCTGGTCATCCTCAGCTGTTTCATTTCCTTCTGTTCACTGCATATCTTCTCCAGCACGTTGATATGTACACCTGACTCTCTTTTCTTGCTGATTTTTTCTACTCAAAATCTCTACCATTTTTTTTTCTACTCAGAACTGGCTGAGGACGTGACTTGCCTCAGGTGAGTGGGGCTCTGGGTTCCATCCCCACCACTACATGCCCCCACCCAGAACTACCTGGTATCGCTTGGTAATCCCAAACAATTGGTAATCCCAGGTGTGATAACTCCACAGTAGCAAAACAAAAAAACCGCCATATGGTATTGAGAAACTGCATTCTTCGATAAAGCCAAATTCCTTCCAGTGAACGAATTAGTTTTCTCTTTTACGTGAGCCATTTTTCACGACCTCCTCCTATCTCCATTCTTGGCTTTCTCACTTCTCTGGTAGTACCCTATTTCCATTCTTCATTTCTTGGGGGCGGTGGGGCAGGGGGCCCAGGCCGGGAAGAGAATGGCCTCCCCAGCAGTTGCTCAGAAGACCCGGGCCACTCTGACAGTTTTTGGGGAACCAGCGCACCGTCAGAGGCCCACAGATCCACTGCTGCTTGTAGTGCCAGAGCTTGTGGGGCCTCTCGGTGATGCTGGGACCTCCTAGGCCACACCTGGCAGTGTTTGGGAACCTCCAGGCACCCCTTGTGGTGCTTTGTTTCTTTGCAAAATAATTTTCTGTCCTTTAGGTGTTGTTGAACCACATCTAGGAGTGCTTAGGGATTTTCTTGGTGGTGATGTGGGGACCATGTGGTGTCAGGGCTCAAAAGTCGGCTGCTGATTGCCAAGTGCTTGCTCAGACCACTGACCCGTCCTCCTGAGGATGCTGTTTACCTTCACTGCTTGACCTGTCACCTTTGTGACATCAGCTGCCAAGTTCCTCGACATGTCTTCCTTGTCCACTTCCCAGAATATATTTAACTACTGACCAGATGTCTCAGCCTCACTCTTCCAAGATAAAGCTGTTATCAAATTGGCTTCCTTTCCTGGCTTTACTATCTTTGATTGTCGTTGGCGGGGTGGGGGTGGAGAGCCCCATACACACCCAGCAATGTTCAGGCATTATTCCTGGCCTGCACTAAGGAATCGTTCCTGCCGGGGCTTGGGAGGCCATATGGGATGCCAGGGATAGAACTTGGTTGGTTTAGTGCAAGGCAAGTATTATCTCTCCAGCCCCTGACGTTCCCGTCTTAATTGTTTCACAAACTGTTTTCCTACACTCAGAGTTAATGAAACTTTCCAGCCTTATCATTTGGTTGTATCAGTATCAGTTGGTTACCAAAGACCCCTTCAATGGTTTTTTTGATCTCCCTTATTTCCCCACATTCTTGAGAGATGGGGTCAGTATATTTTGCATTTCCTATAACACTTAACCAATAATGTGTGTGTGTGGTGTGATTTTAATGTGAAGGAAGTGAATGAACTGGGTGCCTTGTCTCTTTCCTGAAAGGTACTGCTAAGGTCTGACAGCCCAACTGGTGACGTCTTACTGGATGAAACTCTCAGACACATCAAAGCAGCCGAGCCCACAGAAACTGTCCAAACGTGGATAGAGTTACTTACTGGTAAGATGATCACAAAATGATTTAAAAATCCCAGACATTTTCATCTTGATCCAATTTTTAAAATAAGAAAAGTGAACAGAAATTCAGGTGCTGGTCCAAGAGAGAATACGGGGATTAAGGCATTTATCTTGCACACAGAAAACCTGGATTTGATTCCCAACACCTCGTATGATCCCCTAAGCACCACCAAGAGTGATCCTGGAGCCCAGAGCCAGGAATCAGTCCTGAGCATAGCCAGTTGTAGCCCCCTAGAGAAAAATAAATAAGCCCCATTCCCATTGGCGATTTCCCCCCAAATTTTCCTCTAACTCTTGCCAGTTCTGGGCCATCACTAATACCCATTTTTGTTTTTGTTTTTTTTAATTTCATAAAGTTGCTCACAAAAATTGATTACATTCAATATTTCAACACCAATCCCACCACCATTACACCTTCCCACCACTATTATTTCGAAGTTTCCCACCACCACTCACGCCTGCCCCACAGGCAGATGCTAGATAATTTATTTATTTTGTATTGCATGTTATGAATAGTATAAGATGTCTGTAAAGGTCTATTTCACAGTGATTCAACAAAAAGCAAAAAAAAAAAAATATGAGATATAGTGCAACTGCAGAAATGGCTGCACGCTCCTGGGATTGTAAAAATTTAAATAATTGGATCCTGGAGCCACCACTGCAACGAGCTGCTTGATTCTGAGATTCATTTGAGTCTCTGGATCATGGCCTTTAATGCGTCTGAGTGGCACCCAGAGGCAGTTCGTGGATGTGACAGCCAGGACCCCAGGAGGGCAGGAGGGGCAGGGGGATAGGAAGGGATGGCCCACTCCTGACCCCATGAGGCCTGGCGTTTTCAGTCACTGGTCCTGCCTAAACCTGGCTTTTTCAGTGGATTTAGCCTCTTGCATGGGGAACCCATGGCCCAGAAGATCGGCCATGAGAGTTAATGCCCATTTTTTAATTATATGCTGTTCTCGTTGAGTTTAAAAGCTATTCATATATCCTAGATATTAATCCCTGTCAGATATGATTTGCAAATAATATTTTTTCTCACATTCAATAGGTTATCTTTTTTTTTTTATTGAATCACCATGAGATTCACAGTTACAAAGTTGTTCATTGTTGATTTTGTGTCATACAACGTTCCCACACCAATCCCTTGCCTTGCACGCGGCTGACCCGGGTTCAGTTCCTCTGCCCCTCTCGGAGAGCCCGGGAAGCTACCAAGAGTATCCCACCCGCATGGCAGAGCCTGGTAAGCTCCCCGTTACGTATTTAATATGCCAAAAACAGTAGCAACAAGTCTCACGATGGAGACATTACTGGTGCCCGCTGGAGCAAATCAGTGAACAACGGAGGACAGTGCTGCAGTGCTACAATGTTCCCATGCCAATTCCTTCACCAGTGTCCCCTTCCAGCAATAATGTCCCAAATTTCCCTCCCACCCACTAGACTGCCTCTATAGTAGGCACTTTTTTTTCCTTTTTCCTCTTAAGCACTGTAGTTTGCAATACTGTTACTGAAATCGTGCATAGTTTTATGCAAATCCCTTTACTTCCTTTCATCACCCTGTTCATGTCCAGAGTTACCATTTCCTACTATGAACCAGTTCCTCATTTTTATTGTCTGTGTATTATTTTTTTAGTGATTTTTTTTATATCCCAAAATTCACTTGTCATCAGTCTGTGTCTGTCCCTCTCTCTCTCTGAATCATTTCACTCAGCATGATAACTCTCCATGTTGATCCATGTATAAGCAAATTTCATGACTCTGGGTTTTTTTTTAATGGCTGTGTAGTATTCCATCGTGTAGATGTACCATAGTTCATCTATTCACTCATCTGTTCTTGGGCAATCACATTGTTCCCAGATTCTGGCTATTGTGAATAGGAGTGCAGATGGTTTTTCTGCACTTTTGGGGGGTGTACTCGCAGGAGCAGCATTGCTGGATCATACGGAAGCTCAGTTCCTCGCTTCTTGAGAGATGTTCATATTTTCTTCCCAAAAGGCTAGACCAGTCGATATTCCCACAGCAGTGAATGAAGGTTCCTTTTCCCACATCCTCACAGCACAGGTGGTTGTCCTTTGTGATGAGTGCCAGTGTCTGTGATATGAGGCAATAGCTCATTAAGGGGTTGCAGCTCTGAGGCACTCAAGACTGCAGAGCCCGTCCGTCCTGTGTCAGAGGCCAGGACTCGGTGTCTGTGACCCACAGCCCTCCAGGATGAGCCGCTTTTCATCCCCCCAGTTTCAGATTCATCCCCATCACCCTTGGCCCAGCCCCTCTCAGAGCAGACCCACCTCTCCCCGGGACTTGGACCTGCCTCGGAGATGAGCTGCCGTCACCTGCTTCTGGTCCTGCAGTGTGATGCAGATGGACACAAGGGCCTGGCCAGAGTGACCCCTGGCCTGCATTCCCTGGCGCTTTCCAAAGGTACCCACAGACCTGTTTGGAGCCTGAGATTGGGGCCAGCAGAGACCAGAAAACAATGTCCACTGCCAAGGTCTATCCATAGAGTGCCCCAGCCTGAGCACTGAGCCCACAGCCGAGCTGCCAGGGTTAGCCCAAAAATAAAAACTTTTTTCCCTTCATTCTGTTAATGTGATGTATTAAATTTATCAATATTGACATAATACAAATTTCAGGTGTATAGTAGCACTGTAGCACTGTCCTCCCGTTGTTCATCGATTTGTTTGAGTAGGCACAGTAACGTCTCCATTGTGAGACTTGTTGTTACTGTGTTTGGCATATTGAATACGTCACGGGTAGCTTGTCAGGCTTTGCTGTGTGGCGAAATACTCTCGGTAGCTTAATAATTGTAGTAAATCTAGTTAACCACTACACGAAATATTTTCGGTGTCTGTGACCCTGAGGCTGGAGTGATAGTACCGCGGGTAGGGCATTTGCCTTGCACCTTGTGGCCGACCTGGGTTCGATTCCCAGCATCACATATGGTCAGGCGTAACCTGTCAGGAGTAGCACTACCAGGAGTAACCCCTGTGCATCACCAGGTGTGACCCAAAAAAGCGAAAAAAAAAATTCTTTTTGCGTGTGTGTGTGAATTCTTTTATTTTTTAATCGAATCACTGTGAGATACAGTTTCAAATCTTTAATGGTTTTTGACAAAATATTTTCTTAGGATGAAAGAAGATTTTCTGGGGGAAGGTCATACTTCGGGGTGCTCAGAGGTCACTCCCAACAGTGCTTAGGGTCAGTGCAGTGCTAAGGACCAAACCCAGGGGTACTTCATACAGAGGGTATGGCCCTGCCTGCTTTCTTTTTCTTAAGAGGACCCATACCCAGCTGGCACTGTTGTGCTGTAGTCAGGGTGCTTGTCTTGCATGCAGCAAACCAGGGTCCATCCCTCGCACCCCTTGTGGTTTCCCAAGTTATGCCAGAAGTGATCCCTGAGCATTTCCAGGTGTGTGTCCAAAACAAAAACAAAAGCAGAGGGTGGGAGGCATCATCCCTAGCAGTGCTAAACTGCACCAGGGCTACCCCAGGTGGTGCTTGGTGGGGCCGTCAGGTGCCCAAGATCGAACCCAAGCCTCGCACATGCTCATCCTGTGCCCCCTCCACATGTGACCTATCTCCCCACCCACCCACCTCCTTATTTTAGCTTTTGGGGTCACACTCAGCAGTGCTCAGAAGCTATTCCCAGTGTGGTCCTGTGGCTCAAACCCAAGACTCCGCATCCAACACATTTACTCCAGCCCTTGCGTGTCTCTTCAGCGCCATGTTTTCTTTATCCCCTCATCTGTCAGTGGACATGATTGTCTCCGTGTCTTGGCTATTGGTGCAGCAATAAACAGGGTTGGGCAGGGAGGGATGTTCTTTTGGAAGTGTGTTTTTTTTCCTTCATATAAATACTCAGAAATGGAATTTCTGGATCACACGGTAGTTCTGCCTTTAGTTTGGGGGACCCACCATACTGTTTCTATTTTTGCATACAAGGCTCAACTTTCAACAGCATGTTAGTAATTTCTTATAGAAGGGCTTAAAGGCTCTAGAGTGAAATACAACAGGGGCTAGAATGATAGTACAGCGGGTGGGGCATTTGCCTTGCACGCGGCTGACCCAGGTTCGATTCCCAGCATCCCATATGGTCCCCTGAGCACCGCCGGGAGTAATTCCTGAGTGCAGAGCCAGGAATAACCCCTGAGTATTGCCAAGTGTGACCCAAAAAGAAAAAAAAATTGAAATACAGCAATTTTCACACACTTTTATCTAAGAAAAACTTTTTTGGATCATTTTTAGTGGATTATTCATAACAAGCAATACAAAATAAATTATTTTGGTTCTGTTTTGGGGGCAGGGCTTGGGGTTCAGGATGAAAACATTCAAAATAAGGTGATGGGAAGGTATAATGGTCGTGGGATTGGTATTCAAATATTAAATATAATATAAACAACTTTATAAAAATTTAATTTAATTTTAAAAAGAAAGAAAAGTGCCTGCCATAGAAGCAGGCTGGTGGGGGAGGAGGGTTTGGAGAATGGGGGAAGGAAAACGGGGGGCATTGGTGGTGGGAAATTGAAGGGGTGGGCATTGGATCATTGTATGACTGAAATCCAATCATGAAACAGCTTTGTAATGGTCTGTCTCCTGGATATTCAGTAAAAAATTAAAAAATAAATTGAAGTCCTTGATAGCAGACCTGAACCCATAAGGTACGCAGAGGAAAATGTGCGTAAGTACCACTCCTGTCGGGCTCAGGGGACTATATGAGATGCTGGGCATTGAACCGGGTTGGCTGCATGCAAGGCAAATTCCCTACCCTCTGTCCTATCACTTCCATCCCAGTGTTTCCAACACCAGTTGTTAAAGAAGCTTTCCTTACTCCTTTATATTTTTGCTTCTTGAAATTAATTTATCATTTACCTGAGATTCCTGTTATATAACGAGTCTCATTCCCCTGACCCTGAAAGAACCTCCAATACGGCACCATTGGGAAGGACGAGTAAGGAGAGCCTGCTAAAATCTCAGGGCTGGGACGAATTAGAGACGTTACTGGCGCCCGTTCAAGCAACTTGATGGACAACAGGATGACAGGGATACAGTGACACCTCAGAGTCTTTCTCAGGATATTCGTCTCTATTCCACTGATTTTAGGGTCTGTCATTATTCCAATATCATGTTGCTTTAATTACGACCACTTTGTAGTACAGTTTGAAGTTAAGGAAAGTGCGGCCTTCCATCTGTCTTTGCCCAAGGATTGCTTTAGCTCTTGTGGGGAAGTGGGGAGGGAGGCTGTATTGTTCCATATGAATCTCAGGGTCTATTTATCTGAAAAATGACATGGTATCCTTATATGGACTGTGTTGGATCTATACAGTGCTTTGGGGAGTATTGCCATTCGAATGATATTAATCCTCCCAGTCCATGAGCAGAGGATGTATTTCCGTTTCCGTTTCTTCTTGAAGTAGTGTTTTGTAGTTTTCTTTGCATAGATTGTTCACCTCTGTGGATCGGCAGTTTCCGAACTGATCTTCTTTCTTTTGTTTTTTGTTTGTTTGTTTTGGGGGGTGCCACACCCAGGATGCTCAGATCACTCCTGGCAGTGCTTGGATCCTCAGGTGACCATAGGGGATGCCAGGGGTGGAGAGCATCGATCCCGGGTTGACCTTATGCAAGGCAAGCATCCAACCACTGTACTATTTTCCCAGCCCCAGTACTTGATTTTCTGAGGCACAATTGTGAATTGGATTGTTTTCAGTTTTCTTTTTTATTATTTGCATAAAGGAAAGCCATGGACTTCTGAGTATTAATTTTATAGCCTACCACTTCACTCTACAAATCTGTTGTAAAAGGAGATTTTTATAAAGTTCGTAGGATTTTTCGTGTCATCCACAAATAGTGTGAACTTTTCCTCTTCCTTTCCTATCTAGAAAGGATATCTTATTATCTTTTTTTCACCTAATTGCTATGGAAGTACTTCCAGTTCTAAATTGAATATCAAGTGGCAATAGTGGGCACAACCTTGTCCGGTCTTGGAGGTAAGAGTTTTTGCCCATTGAGCATGATGTTTGCTGTGGAATAGCCGCGATTTTATTTCCCACTATATTTTTTTTTAGCAGTCTAACCAACGGTTTGTTGATTTTGTTGATTTTTACAAAGAATAGCTGGCTTCCCATTTCTATAGTTTGTTTTTCTCTATTTTTCATCCATTTCTTTCATTTGTTTTTCTCTATTTTTTATCTTCACACTCATCCCTCTTCTTCTTTTGGGTTTAGTCTCTTTTTCTAGTTCCACAATGTGAAGTCAAGTGATTAGTTGGAACTTTCTTCTTTTTAATGCAGGCATTTAAGTAAATTTCCCTCTGAATACTGCTTTCACTTGTGTTATTTCAGTATTTTGTAGTTTTGCTCATTTTAAGAATTTCCTAATTTCTTTTTTGACCTTTTTCTTTGGCCCTTTGTTTAAGATTAACTTCCATATTTGTGTATTTTCCGGTTTTTTATCTTCTGTGAATTTCCAGTCTCATCCCTTGTGGTTAGAGAATGTATGATAGTGTCTGATGCCAGTTTTTTGGAACTATTGAGGCCTATATTACAGCCTAACCGCTCTGTGTGTGCCAGTGTGCCGTGTTTCCCAGAGAATAGTTCTGCTGCTGTATACATAAGGCGAAGTGGTCTTTAGCTGTCTTGTCAGGCCTAGCTGGTGGATAGCGTCGTTCACGCCTTCCCTTCCCTTTCCCCATAGGTGAGACCTGGAATCCCTTCAAATTGCAGTACCAGCTGAGAAATGTCCGCGAACGAATCGCAAAGAACCTTGTAGAGAAGGGCATTCTCACCACTGAGAAGCAGAATTTCCTCCTGTTTGACATGACGACTCACCCAGTGACCAATACAACAGAGAAGCAGCGGCTAGTGAAAAGGCTTCAGGACAGTGTTCTGGAGCGGTGGGTGAACGACCCTCAGCGCATGGACAAGCGGACTCTCGCACTCCTGGTGCTGGCCCATTCATCGGACGTGCTGGAGAACGTCTTCTCCTCTCTGACGGATGAGAAGTACGACGTGGCCATGAACCGAGCCAAGGACCTCGTGGAACTGGATCCTGAAGTGGAGGGGACCAAGCAGAGTGCCACAGAGATGATCTGGGCCGTGCTGGAGGCCTTCAATAAATCATAAAGCCAGCAGGTGGGGGTGTCGCCCATTTTCCCTGCTGGCTGGTGCTGTACCTGTCACTGGCCTTTGAGAAATGTCTTCATCGTTTTCTCCTCCTCCTCTTGAATCAGACTGTGATTTGAAGAGAGTGACTCCAGGGTCTCCACTAGGAGTGGGTCACTGTAAGCTTGCCTTGTTTCTCTCTCTCTTCGCTTGAGACGAATAAGCTGGGTGAACCCACAAACACCCAATAAACTTTCACTTCTGTCTCGGTTTACCTCCCTTTTGGGTGCTGTTAAGTATGCAGGGATAGAGCTAAGTGGGATGCCGAGTTCTCCAGACTCTCCAGCTACAGAAGGCAAGTGAGACATAGAGTAGACCATTTGTTACTTTTTTACAAGTGTTTTCTATCTGAAATACATGTTTTTCACAGCCAGGTCTCTGTTAAGTGATTTAGTTCATTGAGATGACTGTCTCTGAAGCAGTTGGAAGTAAAGCTAATTTTTGAAGCAGATTTTCTCTGGGATTGTATTCCCACTAGTGATTTTCTCATTTTTCATTTTCTAACCTGATGAGAATATTCCAGATTTGATGACCTGATTCTCACAATTGTCAAACTTGAGTTCCTATCCTCTCGCAGCACTATTTTGCTCACTCATTCTTTAGAGGGAAAAGTCGAAGTGAAAAAAATGTCTCTCTCCAACTCCCAACACACCCACAACCACACCCACCCCACCCGCTACACACACACACACACACACCCCTACACCCCTACCCTGTTGAGTCAGCTTTATATGTTGTAAGGAAGGGAGAGCTGGCATGAGAGTTTCCGACCTTTGACTCATGACTACCCTGATGGCTCTGTGTTTCTTCCGATTGAATTCAGGGGTTTTTAACTTTCAGTTCTGTGCTGAAATTCAGTACTGCATAGCAACATGTTGACAGCACAACTCAACTCCAGCTCATTTCATGTCTTGTCTCTACATAAGTTGATAATTAAGAGTTCTTAAGGGGCTGGAGCGATAGCACAGCGGGTAGGGCATTTGCCTTGCACGCGGCTGACCCGGGTTCGATTCCCAGCATCCCATATGGTCCCCCGAGCACCGCCAGGAGTGATTCCTGAATGCATGAGCCAGGAGTAACCCCTGTGCATCGCCGGGTGCAACCCAAAAAGCAAAAAAAAAAAAAATTCTTAAAGTAATTTTGTGTAAAAATTCTCAGATTCCTTCCTAATCGTTAGTCTAATCTTAATACAATCATGTCTGTAAATCTACAATGTTTTTCAAACAAAAATTTTTTTTTCCGTGTGGGAAGTCCTATTAGAGGGTAAAACTGCTATGGTAGATAAAGTCCAATATTGGGGTATATGAAGATGAAAGACCCCAAGCTATGCTAATGTCAAGCATGATACTTTGAATAAGTCACACCTCCTATTCATTACAGAGAAATGCTGTCACCAGGACTAATCCAGATGACCCAGACCTGTTATCAAATCTTCCTGATCAGAGGTCATTTTAATGTATCATCTCCTCCCCAAATTTGCCTAGCCCTCAAATCAATAATCATATTTAATTTTTCACTGCTGGTATTGCATAGCTGACTGGGGGTTACAGATTTGAACATGAGAAGATTCTAAGGCAAAGTAAAGCTTTAGTCGGGCTCGCTGAAGTCCAGAAACCTTGGTTTTCCTTTCCATTTGGACAACTGAATTAAGACCAGGTTTTCTGGTGTCACGTTTTACCTTGATTAAAGATAGAAACTTATTTTGTTCAACTTATTTTGCTCAACTCTTGGTCAGTGTTTATTTTTATTCTGTATCTCAAAATAACGAGAATTGTCCTCAGTTGAATGCATAATGTTCACTGCAAAACGCACTCTGGTTTAGTGTAGATGGCCTTCACGTCTCTGTGTAATAAAGATCAGTCATTGGCTTTCTGTTCTCTCTGTGGCTTTGCATCTTGAATTATTTTAGTTGGAAATAAGAATTATCCATACAGGTCTGAAGAGATAGTACATGGGATAAGGCACTTGGCCAACCACAGTTCAATCCTCAGCACCCGTATGTCCCCCCAGCACTGCCAGGAGTGAGCCCTTAGCATCACTGGATGTGGCCTAAAAACAACAACAGCAACAAAAATGTCACACATACATAGAGACTAGAGGACAAGACTTTTCAATGCTAACTTGTACACTGGCTCTGGTCTCCAGCTCAGCCTGTGATTCAGTCATTGCTACCTTAGGAGGGTATGTTCTGTCTTAAGTGACACCTGAACTGAGAACTGAAAGTCTTATACACACACACTATACATATTAAATATATATATATATGAGACTTTAAAAGGTGGGAGAGCTCTCAGCGGACTGCAGCATGTGCTTTGCATCCAAGTTCTTCCACTACCTGTTCCCCCTGGCCGCTTGGGGTTCACCATCTTCCAGAGGCCAATGGACAGCCAGATAGGGGCCCACAGTGACGAGACACATGGGGCCTCATGGGATGGAGGTGGAACTGGCCCTTTCCTCCCCCACCCCAACGAGACCCTGAGTCACCACCTGTGAATGGGCCCCTCTGGCTACTCACCAAGCTGCTTAAGCCATGATCCCAGAGACTCAGAAGCAAATGGTGGAACCCAGCGGCCTTTGGCTGAAATCCCTCCAGATTTAATTGTTCAAATTTCAGAATTCCAAAATCATATGCTGTTCGTAATCAGCAATAGAAAACAAATTGTCTAATGTTGCCTTTTCAGCAGATCTGAGTGCTGGGGTAAAATCCCAAAGAATAATGGTGGGTCTGGTGTCGAAAAATTGAATGTGATCAAAGTAGAGAGAGAGTAATGTGGAAATCACCTGCCACACAGGTAGGGGGAGGGCGTGGGATGGGGATATACTGGGGTTTTTGGTGGAAAATGTGCACTGGTGAAGGGACAGGTGTTTCATCATTGTCTAACCGAGACTTAAACCCGAAAGCTTTGGAACTGCTCTCACGGTGATTCAATAAATTATAAGTAAATAAAGTCCTTCCACTCCCAGTGAGTGACTCATGAGCCAGGTATGGTCCCAAAACCAAAACAAAGAGAAAACAAACTCTAAGACTGAGCAATAAAAGACCATGAGCACCACCAGGTGTGGCCCCAAAAATATTTTTACTAGGATTGGTTTATTTTTTTCTTTTTGGGTCACACCTGGCGATGCACAGGGGTCACATTACTCCTGGCAGTGCTCAGGGGACCATACGGGATGCTAGGAATCGAACCCAGGTTGGCCGAGTGCAAGGCAAACGCCCTACCTGCTGTGCTGTCACTCCAGCCCCGGGTTTGTTTTTTTTTAACTTGGATTGTTTATACCTCCCTGTTTTTATTTGAAACAAAGCATATTCCCCTTAAGGCATCCTTTATGCATTGTTTCTCAAATTATGGTATAAAAACCAGGACCCAGATCAGCATGGTGGAGGAAAAAATGGGAATGAGCAAAGCTTGAGAAAAGGCAGCTTCCTGATCACACCTGAAGTCTCTCAAAGCTACCACATTATAGTTGGAGAACACATCTATATTTTATTGCTATTCATCCAAAATAATCCAGTGCATGGGCCAGAGTGATAGGACATCAGGGAGGGCATTTGCCTTGCATGCAGCTGACCTGGGTTCTATCCCACACACTACGTACAGTCCCCAGAGCACTGCTGGGTGTGGTTCAAAAAATATAACACACAATAGACACACACAGGGCTGGAGCGATAGCACAGCGGGTAGGGCGTTCGCCTTCCAAGCGGCCAACATGGCCGACCCGAGTTCGATTCCTCCGCCCCTCTCGGAGAGCCCGGCAAGCTACCGAGAGTATTCGATATGCCAGACACAGTAACAACAAAGTCTCCAATGGAGACGTTACTGGGCCCGCTCGAGCAAATCGACGATCAACGGGAGGGCCTTTACCTTTACCTTTACACATTTCAAGTGCTTACCAATTAATTGGCACTTGGCTATGTGCTAACAATGTAAAGTGATATAGAGTGCCCAGGGGCATGGCTCAGTGCCCCTGATCTGCTGTACATGAAACAGGCCACTGTCCCATCCCTTCCACATCATGACCAGGTGACTACAGGGGTGGTACTAAGAACCCCACCACCGATGTGTGAATCCTGAATCCCCTCACCAACAAAGGAAAGAGAAGGGACAGGACAAACATAGAACACAATTTTAGCTTCCAAGAAGCACCATTTAACGTGGGTAGATCAGATATTTTGTGATAAATGTTCAAATCGAAGTGTAAACAATATTTGGGAGCATAAAGAAGTAACATTCTCTCTGGATCAGCCGGAAAGAGGTGGAGGAGTCATATTTATTTATAGTAGCCTTCATGGGTTGAATACATTTTTGAGAGGTACTATGGTAACCAGTTTATATATTATTCATTCCTCACACTAACAGACCCTATAAGGTTATTTAAAGACACCTGAAGATGGTGACTTTGCCTGAAGACACAGTGTACACAGTGCATGCAGAAGTGCAGACAGGCATTTGATGCTGGGGTTGTGATTCAGTGGTAGAGTATTAGCCTTTCAAGTTGGAAGTCCTTTGTAGTTAAATTCTCAAAAAATCAATCTCGCCTTCCCCCCAACCTCTCTCACTCCCTCCCTCTCCTTCCCTCTCTCTCCTTCCCTCTCTCTCCTTCTCTCTCTCTTCTCTCTCTCTCTCTCTCTCTCTCTGTCTCTCTCTCTCTCTCTCTCTCTCTGATGCTTGGCACTGCTTGAAAGATCATATACAGTACCAGAGATCAAAACCAGGTCAGCCTTGTGCAAGGCAAATGTCCTACCCCTTGTATTATCACTCTGGCCCAAACAGTAACCGAACAATGTTTTTATAGTTTTACTTTTGTTTGGGGGGAAAGAATGGTTTGGGGCCATACCCAGCTGTTTACTCTTGGCTTTGACCTCAGGGATCATTCCTGGCAGGGCTCAAAGGACCATAGATGGTACCAGGGATTGAATCCAGCTTAGTAGTGTGCAAGGCGGGCACCCTACCCATTGTACTATCTATCCAGCCTGTCAAAAATTTTATTTTGTTTTGTAAGTGTTTTGGTTTTGGCCACACCTGGCAGTGCTCAGGAGTTACTCCTAGCTCTGCACTCAGGAATTATTCCTTGTGAGCTCCGGGGACTATATGGGGTGCTGGGGATTGAACCTGGGTCAGCTATTTGCAAGGCAAACATCTTCCTTGCTGCACTATTGCTCTGACCCCTGGCTGCATAAATTTTATTTTTATTTATTTATTTATTTTTGCTTTTTGGGTCACACCCAGCGATGCTCAGGGGTTACTCCTGGCTCATGCACTCAGGAATCGCTCCTGGCGGTGCTCGGGGGACCATATGGGATGCTGGGAATCGAACCTGGGTCGGCCATGTTGGCTGCTTGCAAGGCAAACGCCTACCCGCTGTGCTATTGCTCCAGCCCCTGCATAAATTTTAAAGAAACCAACAGGCATGACTGCTTATTGAGAGCTGAATATTGTCTCTCTTTGGGAGGCCTTCCCAGCATACTTAACCACTTCACTCTCTTGTCTTCACTTAAAGTCAGTCTTAAAGACTGTCCAGTTTGAGGAGTAAGAGCTATGACTGACGTGGAAAATATTATATTCAAATGTTGTTTTCTTTAGAGGGCCTTCTTTGGGGGGCTGCACCCAGCAGTGCTCAGGAGCTATTTCAGGCTCTGCTCAGGGATCACTTGGGGCTCAAGGGACAGGAACGTTTGGGGTGAAAACAGAGTCGGCAACACACAAGGCCAGCACCCTGTACTACCACTGTGCTACCCCTCCAACCCTATTCAAATGATTTGTTACATGCTAGAACTTCCTGAATGTGTGCTTTTTACATTTATCTGATTTCCAAAAGAGGTAACTTAAGCGAACTGACTAATAACAGAATAAGCAATGCAGAAAGGAATTTTGGTGGGTGCGACAGAAGAGGTGCCAGAGCAATCGTTTGTCTGGTTGACCAGGTTCAATCACTGGCACCACATATGGTCCCCTGAGCATCGTCAGGAGAGATCCCTGAGCACAGAGACAGGAGCAAACCCTGAGCACTGCTGAATGTCCCCCCACCCAAGAAAAGTATAGATCCAAACCATTGACTACACAGTGGTCTTTTGAATTAGCACACAACGTTTAACGTTCATTTACTTCTTCACTGATATTTTCCTTATATAAAATTGAATTCCTTTGTTTTCCTTAACTTTTTTTGGGGGGGAGGGGCACACCTGGCTGTGCTCAGTGCTTACTCCTGGTTCTGTGCACATGGATCATCATTACTGGGGGACTGTAGGAACTTCTGTGAACTGAACCTGGGTCAGGTACGTGCAAGGAAAGTGCCTTGCTCCATGTATTAAAACTGGCTTCCCCCACCAATTATTTTAACTACAAACACAATAAATCAAAGGCCAAGTGTTAGTTTTTGTAGTCTGAGTTTAGTTTCTATGTTGTCTGAAATATTCCTTGATCAGCTCAGCCAAAAATGGTCCTTTAACACTTACAAATAGAACTTATTTGGTGATCGTCATTGCTGTCATACAAAGTGTGACTTAGCTACTTAAACGTGGCCAAACTTCCTTGTTCATAGTTAACCAACCTCTAGGGTTCCAAAACTGGTGACTTCACATTGATTACGCCAACATCAGGATTTTTGTTTTTGTTTTCGTTTTTTTAGTTATGCCATATTGTCCAGGAACTGTAAGACAATTTGTACTCACTTCCCATCTCCACAAAGTGAGATTTCCCTCTCTCCCAGCTTCCCACCCACCATCTCTGTCATCCCCACCAAATCTGCCTCAAAGTCAGTTCATTTTCCAGCACCGCCTCATTCTTCCCACTCATCAGTCTCATTCTGTCTTTCCTAAAGCGTGTAGACACCCTGTATCCAGGAACTGGCGAACCAACCTTGCCTTATTATCCTTCCACTGTTCCTTACCTGTCCTTTGCCCTAGTTGACCCTGGCGGGTTTTGTTTTTTCCCTGCTTTCTCGTTACTCGTCTGGCCAGTCATTACCGGCCAAAGCAAACACAGCCTGCAGGTTGGATTTCAGATTCATGCCTATCTCGGGATAATGTTTCTGTTTTGAATCATCGCTATTTCCTGTATTTTCTCTAGACCTACCATTCCATTCTACTATTTATTTCTCAAAAAATAGATCTTAAAAAACAAACATCAGGGGCTGAAGCGATAGTACAGCGGGTAGGGCGTTTGCCTTGCACACGGCCGACCCGGGTTCGATCCCCGGCATCCCATATGGTCCCCTGAGCACCGCCAGGAGTGATTCCTGAGTGCAGAGCCAGGAGTAACCACTGAGCATCGCTGGGTGTGATGCACAAAAAACAAACAAACAAACAAACAAAAAAAACTTGCAGTGAACTTTTGTGCCCTCCATTTTGTTTTTGTTTGTTTTTGTTTTTTTGTTTTTCATGATTTTAGAAGGGCAATTCATTTTTTTAATTTAATATTTAATTTAATATAATTTTTAACCACATTTGGAGATTCATTTTTTTATTTTTTTTCAGTGAATCACCGTGAGATACAGTTACAAAGCTTTCTTTCATGTTTGAGTTTCATTCATACAATGATCGAACACCCATCCCTCCACCAGCAATGTCTCCAGTACACGTGCCCCCTTTCCAATCTTCCCCCTACCTCTATGGCAGACAATTTCCCCCAAACTCTCTCTCTACTTTTGGGCATTATGGTTCGCAATATAGACACTGAGAGGCTATCACGTTTGGTCCTCTATCTACTTTCAGCACACATCTCCCATCCCAAACGATTCCTCCAATCATCACTGACTTAGTGATCCCTTCTCTATTCCAGCTGCCCTCTCCCCCAGCTCAGGAGACAGGCTTCCAACCATGGAGCAATATTCCTGGCCCTTGTGTCTACTGTCCTTGGGTGTCAGTCTCATGTTATTTTATATTCCACAAATGAGTGCGGTCATTCTATGTCTGTCCCTCTCTTTCTGACTTATTTCACTTAGCGTGATACTTTCCATGACCATCCACTTATAACCAAATTTCATGACTTCATCTTTCCTAACAGCTGCATAGTATTCCATTCTGTAGATGTACCAACGTTTCTTTAATCAGTCGGCTGCTCTCAGGCACTCACGTTCTGGCTATTGTGAATAGTGCTGCAATGAACATACAGGTGCTGATGTCATTTCTACTCTGCTTTTTTGCACCCTCGGGATAAATTCCCCGAAGTGGTATCGTGGGGTCATATGGAAGCTCAATTTCTAGTTTTTGAAGAAATGCCCATATTGTTTTCCAAAAAGGCTGGGTCAGTTGGCATTTCCACCAACAGTGAGAGAGTGTCCCTTTCTCCCCACACCCATGCCAACACTGGTTTTGTTCTTTTGAATGTGTGCCAGTCCCTATGGTGTGAGATATCTCATTGTAGTTTTGATTTGCATCTCCCCGATGAATTTTAATTGCATTTTTATCAGTTTCACAATAATTTATTCCTTCAATATTCCAACCCAATCCTGTCACTTTTACACCTTACCCACTACCATTATTTCAAATTTTCCCAGCCACCACCCAAGCCTGCCCCAACAGGTCCTAAATAATTTACTTTGTATTTCTCTTTATGAATAATTCTCTTAAAATAATCAAAAAAGTTTTCCTTAGAAGAGTGTGAAGATTGTTGCACCTCACCCTGGAGCCACTGGACTGTCCCCTGCATTTTGGCTTCCCCATCAACTCATGTTCACACTGGTCCTTTCTTTCTGTGTCTCTTGTCAAATTTCCTCCAGTTGGGGCCTCTTCTACTTTCTCCTTTGGTAATCCCATCTATTTTCACAATTTTCATTTAGAGAAGAGGTGCACATTCATATATTTTATTCTAGTTTTTCTCCCAAACTGAAGATCTATATTCCTAGAATCCTAACATATAAAATATACAGATTTCGAAGGTGATTTTTCCTAAGTCTCCATTGCTTGGATATTGTCTACAAATAGATCTTTGCACAATACGAGAGGGGCTAAGGCATCTGCCCAAGTAAGGCCAACCCCATTTGCCCTGGCATAGAGTAAAGAGCCAGGAGTCAACCTTAAATGACACAAACTTGGGATATCCCCATTGTCCCTTCAAAAGTCGCTGGTTTTACATTGCAGGCTTCATTCTCTGCTTCAGATCCCATTCCCAAACTGACTTTTCTTTGGTTTTGTTTCTATAAACCCAAGAGGCATTTGTTTCCTCAATCCCAGCTGCTAGTTCCGTAGATTTCCAAAGACTTTCTCAAGGAGGTTCTGTTTCCTATACTTAATTATACTTTAAATCTGAATTATAACAACCTAGAATATTGCAATGACTTGGTTCTACTGGCCACCTATAACGTCTTTCTGCTTGAATTCTATTAATTACAATCAAAATAATAATCTCTGACTTCTTCCCTAAAAATCTTAAATATCTCTCCTGGATTACTGAATTATTCACAGATCCCTTACCCTGCCATCCAGGCCTTATGTGTTCTGGAAACAACTATTTTTCTATCCTTCCTGATACCTAGAGCTTTGAATACCCTCCCTCCATCCCTTCTCTCCTTCCTTCCTTCCTTCAATCTTCCTCCCTCCCTCCCTCCCTTCCAACCTTTCCTTCCTTCCTCTGTCCAACTCCTTAATTCTTCAAAGTTATGTATTCATAACTCTTGCTCCTGAATACATTTTAAAATTAAAATAAAATAAAATTAAAACCTAAAATAAAATTTTGTGATATCGAAGTCTTGAGTCCCTACAGCATGTTATTAGCACTTATTCCTCAGTGCTGGTGGATAAACATTGCCCCCCCCTCCTGTTTTTGGTCTTGTATGATGAGAATATGCATACTCAGAGCTTCTCATATGTTTCTATTAGAAGTACACTTAATTACACAGAAAAATGAGCAGACAGCTTCAAAGCCATCTGCCACAAGAAGCTGACTGAAAATCTGTATTACGATTTATTGTTACAATGTAATTGGTATTAGACTACCGATGGTTTTTGATATCAAAATGCTATTTTGGGTCTGGGATATGGCTCAGTGGCAGAGCAAATGTTTTGCATGTTAAGACTCTGGGTTCCATCCAGGCACCAAAAATACATTTTAAAAATTTAGGCTTGCTCTTCCAAGCCACTGTATTACCTTGAACACGTATCTTAGCTTCCTTATTTTTTCCGCTCTGGAGAAAACCGCACTCTCTCTTGAATACCTATTCCTCACTTTCACTCCCCTCATCTCTTTCTAAGTAAAGTTCATTCAATAAAAATTATCTTGCTTTACTTCAAAAAAAATATTTTAAAGAGGGGTTGGAGCGATAGTCCAGCGGGTAAGGTGCGTCACCTGCGTAGAGCCAACTCATGTTTGATTCCTAGCACCCCATTTGGTACCGAGTGCCAAGCCAAGGAGTAAGTGTTTTGTGGACCCAAAACAAAAACAAAAATTTAAAGAATAAAACCTGTGTTTTTGACTAACACTTCAAGAATATTTGTCTCTTTAATACTGTGAATTTAGAGTACATATAGCATTACTGTAGAAACCTCACGTTCTCTAAGCTTGAGCTTCTAAGGGCAGGAAAGACAGTCTTAATACATGTTTTCCTCGTAAAACGGATACAGCCCAGCTACTGACTCCAAACGCACAAGAAATACTATTGAACTGTGACCTGTATTCTCTAAGTTTGCAGATACCAGGAACAGTGCTCTGTTTTAGGCTTCACGATCACGACCATCCTTTTATTCATCGATTGCCTCAAGCAGGCCCCAGTAACGTCTCCTTCGTCCTAGCCCTGAGATTTTTTTTAAAAAGTGCCATATTCAAGGCTCTTTCAGGGTTAGGAGAATGAGACCCATCATTGTTACTGGTGTTTGGCATATTGGGTACGCCACGGGGAGTTTGCCAGACTCTGCCGTGTGGGCAGGTTACATCCGGCAGCCTGCCAGTTTGTCCAAAGTAGGAATAAGATAATAAAATGTCACAATAAGATGTTGCGCGGACTAGTCTACATTTAATGAAGTTTAGCAAGTATAAAACTGAATAGAAATTATAAAACAGAAGACACATCAGTGACACGCAGGAATACTTTGAAGCTCATTTTGATTTCCAAATTATTTTCCGGATAGATTTTTTTTTTTTTCTCTAACAGTGAGCAAAGCTTGAATACTGAAAATACAAGATCTGCATCCTTCAGCTCTACTGCCTGAGACTCAGCAACGCCTCCGGGCGCTAAGAGGTGGAGCCGAAAAAAGCCAAGCACAGGAAAAAAAAAAAAAACACGCCCAAGCTGTAGCACCGCCTCACGGACTTCCCATTGGTCTCTGCGGCCGCCTTTCTTTCCCTATTGGTGCTTCGGCTTGTCCATCGTCCCAGTGGCGCCCGCCTCTCCCTGGCGCCGATTGGCGGGCCGTTACGTCATTGCCTCGCCTTCCTCGCTCCCATTGGCTGCCGCGAGGAGGGGCGGTCGCAACGTCACAGGCAAGGTCGCCATTTTAACTGAGCAACCCTAGTGACAGGAGCTGGGCGCAGCTGGTCCCCGTCTCCCCTCCCCCTTCCCTTCTCCAGCTGATTTCCCGGCCCCGCCATGTCCCAGAAACAAGAAGAGGAGAACCCTGCGGAGGAGACCGGAGAGGAGAAGCAGGTGACGCGGGGGCGGGCGGGCGGGCGGGGGGTGATCGTGACGGGGCGGGAGACGGTCTCGCACCCGTGCCCATTGGTCGCCCCGGCCCCCGGCTCCGCAGGGGTTGGCCGCTGCTTGCGTCACGCGGGGTGAGCGTGAACGCGACTGGCTGCTCAGGCGCTGGTTGGCTGGGCCTCCTGTCAGTCAGGGCCGGTCCGCTTCCGATTGGCTGCTGGGCCGGCCGTCACGGTGCGCTGCGATTGGCTGAGCGCTGGTGCGAGGCGGGGGTTTGGAAAGCGGGGGTGGGAAGGGGGCCGGTGGTCCCGACTTGCGGAGTGTGTTCTGCGCTTCGCGGAGGTCGTGCTGGGGGGCCTCGCCCGAAGCCTCGGGGGGGATGCAGGTGGTGGCGAAGACTTGTTGATAGGAGCGGCACTGGGGGGCGGAGAGGAGGGATGATCGTCCTGGCAGTCGCCCGCGGGGCCGACGGGGAAAGAGGAAACAGTAGCAGGAACGTCTCGGGAAACTGTTACATTGTTGCAGTGCTGGGGGCTGAGCCCGGGGAAGCGTGTGCTGTGCCCTTGCTCCTAGCGGCTTTCTCAGAGAGGGATGGAGGTCAGACGTAGGGAAGGCCCGTGGTGCCAGGCCGGTGGTGCCAGGCCGATGATGCCAGGCCAGCCTTGCCCTGGCGCCCAGCGGGCCGGGCTGAACCTCCCGTCGGGGTTTGTGTTGGATCCTTAACTCCTGGATGCGGGGCTCAAGGAATTACACGGGCGTCATAGTTTTGCTGGGCTCTCTAGGGAGGGAGATTTATTCCACTAAGGAGTAATAAAAGCGACCGATCGACCTTATTTAGGGCCTTAGGAAAAGTCCCCAAAGGCAAGGTCAGCTGGCCCCACCGGGAGAAGAAGAAAATAATAACCCGAGAACCCCTGCAGCTAATTGAGCTCTTGTCATGATCCCCAGATGAACAGCACTTTTAATCTCACTAGGGAAGGTGCTGATTATTTATTTATTCATTTTTGGCCAAAACGGATGGGTAGATAATGCTAGTGAATTTACTGTATCTTCATTTCCCCAGGGTTAAAAACTCATTGGTGTACCCACCTGTCACCTTTGGGCCACGAAGTAGTGGTAGGGTGGAGAGAGGGCAGCAGGGCCCGGGTCTAGCTACTTTGTAAAGAGACTCGCAGCTGACAGCAGAGGGCTGAGGATGGAGGCAGCAGCTGGGCAGAATCTCCCCGGGCTCCGCTTCGCCTGGAGTGTGCTCTTCTCATCTTGCAGTCCGGACGCCGTGGCTGGCTCTGTTCTCTGCCCTTTCTGGCTTCTGTGCTGAGTGCGCCATGTCTCTCCCCGGGATTAAGGCATCGTCACCTTTAACCAGCACTCCCAGGTCACCCAGATAATTCTAGGGCAGAGGCCGAGTGCGGACTCGTCATCACGCAGTCATCTTGAGCTGTAGGGATTGGAACAGAGTTGAGCTTTAGGAAAACGCTTCCTTCCCCCTGCCTCCGATGGAGCCCGGATTTCACGCAGACACGGCCGGTACTTGGCCACTGAGGTCCGGGCCAGGCCCAAGGTCCAGCTTCGAGAGACTGTCGAGATAGCATGTCAGTGAATAGGCAGGTCAGGGAGGGGGCATCAGGTACTCGAGGTACCAGCTTCTCAGGCTGTCATTCTCTCGGCCGGTTTGTTTCCTCTAGGACACACAGGAGAAAGAAGGTATTCTCCCCGAGAGAGCTGAGGAGGCAAAGCTGAAGGCCAAATACCCCAGCCTCGGACAAAAGCCTGGCGGCTCCGACTTCCTCATGAAGAGACTCCAGAAAGGGGTATGGACCACCATCTCGTACTTCGGAGCTAGAGTGCGTGTTAAGAGCCGCTCCTGATGGCTGAGCTGGAGGTTTGGCAGGGCTGGAGATGAATGAGGAACTTGTGAAGAGCAAAGGGCGGATCATGGTAATCCCCGATGCAGTGTCAGCTCCCTTCTGGCCTCCCCTGAGGAAACCAAGACTGGACACAGGGGCAGGACGGTTGGGAAGGCAAAGGGATTAGGAAAGGACCCGAGTGGCTGGGAGGCCGATGCCCCCGTGTGCATTTGCCTGTTTAGTTGATGAGAGTTCTAAGATGCTACTGCTTAAAATTAGAGCTATATTGGTGTGTCGTTTCAAAAAAAGATGAAACTTTTTGCCCTGCAGATGTCCACGGTTTAAACGGGGCCTTTTTTTTCGGACTTAGCACTAGATATTAATCACACTTGCCCCACGCCTTTTCTCTTTGCTGCCCAGAGTGGTCTGCCCCATCAAGGGAGGATTCCCTTCGCAGACATCAGGCCTAGGGTCCCCATTAAGTCATGGATCCAGAGAACGTGTGTCCGGGGGAGCAGAACAGCGAGTGGGAAGGAGGCTGTGAGGCCATTGGCTCCGGCGTCCTGTCTCCATGCTGCGGGGGGAGATTCGCGGCTCCCTCCCTGTGGCTCGGCAGCCGTGGGCGGGCTGCCACAGCTCTGGAACATGTGTGGGCGTGGTGGGAAGCAGGCTGAGCAGATTTGCTGCATGAGCGAGCCCAGATTCTATTCATGGGCTGAGACTCCTTCTTGGTGTTGAGGTTGCTGGCTTGAAGTCGCTGCCATTGCTAGGATGGCACCCGATTAACCCTTCTGGTTTCCGTTGCCCCAGCACCACGGCCACTGCACGTTAATGTGTCCTCAGTGGGTCTTGCTTCTGAATCACGTCAGTAATGTTAGCCATTCTGTGCTGATGGGCGGCAAGGGAGGTGGATACAGAAGAGATAGGGACCGGCCCTAACTGGAGCAGTCTCTGCTTTGGGATAGCACAGGGGTTAACAGTGCCTGCCTCACATGCGGCCAACCCCAGTTCGATCACTGCCAGTGTGCCAAAATAGTTCTTTTTTTGATTTACATGTAAATCGGATACTGTAATGAGAAACTTTTTGTGGGAGGGTTGGGGAGGGTAGGATAAGACTTTTTCTCCAGAAACCAGGAAGAGTACTGGAGTTCGGTGCTCGCCTAAGCGTGCGGCGACCTCATTGTGATCCTGGGCACCACATATGGTCCCTGAGCACCTCTAGGTGCTTTGCATGCAGTTAACCCTGATTTAATCTCTTGACAGCACATGTGAAATAAGAGCACTGCCCAGGAGCCATCCCTGAGACAGTCGGATGTGATCTAAAACAAACCAAAAAACCTTTTAATCTAACCTGAAAACTTTGTGCCCGAAAAGGTTCGGGAAAATTGGGAAGAATACGTACATACACGGAATCGGTACTGAGCTCTGTGTGCGTGAAGTTAGGCTGGGAGGAACACCTAGAAGTCAGTCAGGGGCCTGGAGAGAGAGCATAGCAGGTTGGGCGCTTGCCTTAGATGTGGCCGATACCACAGACGCTGAGCTCCAAACACCACCAGGAGTAATTCCTGAGCACAGAGCCAGGAATAACCCCTGAACATCACTGGGTCTGGCCCTGAAACCAGAATAAATAATTTTTCAGAAAAGTTATTCTGGAAAAAAGGTAAATTCATGTAACTGATCCAGAGCTCCCTGAGCATGAAGTTAGTCTGGGAGGAACACACGGTACCTGTCATTGATCCTGAGCTCTGTGCGTGACGTTAATCCGAGAAGACCCAAGCTGCTCGTGGGCAGAGTTTGAGAGGGATGTTGTCTCCTTGCTTGTGAGCCGGGCCGGGGCTCCTAACTCACCTGACCCCCTCTTGTCTCTCAGCAAAAGTACTTTGACTCAGGAGACTACAACATGGCCAAAGCCAAGATGAAGAATAAGCAGCTGCCCAGTGCGGGAGCAGACAAGAACCTGGTGACTGGCGACCACATCCCCACCCCACAGGACCTACCCCAGAGAAAGTCCTCGCTCGTCACCAGCAAGCTTGCGGGGTAACCGGGCCCCTTCTCCCCTTCCTCACCCACTGGACTTCCGTGTGTCATAGGCAGGGCTGGAGCGGGCTCAGCAGGTCTCAGCTCACGCGCCAGCCCTCACTGATTCCGCTGGGGGCTGCGGAGAAGGCCGGGGGGTTGAGCAGCGCCCCGAGTTCATTGCTCTGGTCAGCTCGAGATTCCCACACCCTCCCGTAACCCAGGTAGGAACCCCGAAGCAGGAGACTAGGATTGGGGGACGCTGCACCCGCCTTTGTCCCTTGTGTGTAAGGAACGGAGGCGTGCGTTGTGCGTCTGGAAGAGGCGCCCCCCAGTGCTTAGCCGAAGCCTGGGGGGCCTGGCCGAGCTGGGAGTGGTCGCGCGGACCGGCTCTGTCTCTGTGCTTCTCAGTGTCCATCCCTTAGGCTGCTGTTGTCCGTGTCTCCATCCGGACACTTGTGGAGTTGCCGCAGAAGGAAAAAGCATCTCGTTCGCCCAGAGGACAGTGCCCTCTCCCCCTGCGCCATTGCCTCAGCCTGCCCTGGCTCCCCACTCTCGTGCCCCCCGAAAGGCGCCCTCTCTCCCTGACCTGCCTGGGAGGCTCCTGGGGGCTGGACAGAGCGCCCTGGCGTAGCGGCAGGAGTCGGGCTTCCAGTTGCGCTCGCTCGCACAGAACCCACCCGCTCCCCAGGTCGGGTCAGGCTGCCTCTGGATTTGGAGCTTCTCCGTAAACTAGGCTTGGATTGGTTCTGAGTCTCCAGTCCAGCCGCAAACGCGGCTATTCATGGTACCACTAAACGCGGGAATGGCAGCGGGTGTCCTGCAGAAGGGGATGCTGAAGGCCGTGGGAGGGCGGGAGTTGAGTCCTGGGGTGGGACCAGAGGGCCTCAGTAACGCACGGGGGCTCGAGGGGAGAAGCTTCTAGCCTCTGCCTCATTCCATCCCGGCTGTAGGCTGTCCTGGGGTGGCCGTCAGCGGTGGGCCCAGGAGGACAGGCTCAGGTCCCAGGCGGGTGTGTTGTCGGAGAAGGAAGAGGGGATGAGCTGTCTGAGCCTCAGGGCCTCCCTCCTGCCGGGCTGGCGCAGCAGGTTCTGGGGGTGAGTCATCCGGGCAGGAGCCACTCGGAGAAGACTGAGTCAGGCACAGGGAATGGGAGGGAGGGCTTGCAGCTGGCCGGTAGTTTCCTGGAGGGTCTGGTGGTTACTGGCTTGGCCTGAATCTTCCTGACTGCAGCCCCCCAGGCCATAGTGCGAGCAGACTGTCCCAGAGGGTGCCCTCCCGCCATTCTCTCTGCCTTGTCGCCTCACAGACTCTGATCTGCCAAACACTGGCCCAGTGACAGGGGCCCGGAGATGTGCCCCTGTCCTGACCGGCCATTCCCATCGCAGGCTCTTGTTGAGACTAGACAGGAAGGAACGGCGAGACCAGGGTTCCCAGATCTCCCGGCCCCCCCGCCCCTTGTACCCGCCCTGTAATTGTATATAATTTGTGTGTTTTTTGCTCCATTCCTCATGCTGTCTTCCGAGTCCATGTGAGAAGGGGAGAATGCGACACCCCGTATAGTTTCCTCAGTTGTCCGAGCTGTGTTGTACATAGATATGTCACATGATTATATATATAAATATATATATAATTTTGTACGTTATTTTCATCTTCGATCTTCTCAGAGTTTGTACTTTTTTTTTCTTTTCTGTCTGAGCTGCTTTCTCTATTGGCCAGTTTGAGTCCTTAGGACTAAGGTCACAGCAAAACACAGGGAAATAGGGGGAAAAGAGGGGAAAAAAACCAAACAGGTTCTTTTCTCTCCCACCTGTCATCTTCATGACTCAGAAAACAAATAAACCACAATTCCCTGTTTGCCACCTGTTGCAGCAATATGAAGTACATTCTGTGGCAAAAAAGGTCATTTCCAAGGGACTGGAGACATAGCACAATGGGGAGGGTGCTTGCCTTTCACGTGACTTACCCAGGTTCGATCCCCAGCATCCCATGTGGTCTCTGGAGTCCGCCAGGAATGATCCCTGAGTGCAGAGCCAGGATTAAGGCCTGAGCACTGCCAGGAGTGGCTCAGAAACAAAAAAAAAAAACTCTTTAAAAAGTCATTTCCAGAGCCAAATTACATTGATTAAGCCTCGATGGTGTGTGGGGTCTGTCGGGCCCACTGCTGCCGGGGGTCCGGCTGTCCCTAAAACCAAAGACGGCCCCAGATTCAGCAGCGGAATCCTTGCACACCTCCAGTTACTTTGATCTTGTCTAAACTGTTTTCATGGTCGCATCCAAAAACAGAGCACATTTTGTTCTATAGTTTGTTGTACATACGGGGACTTGACTTGTCCCCGCCCTGTCTCGCTGGCCCCGTGGACAGGGTGGACAGGGTCAGGCCGGAGGGCGGCGCGAGCTGAGCTGAGAGGATGGGCAGGGCGGGGCAGGGCGGGGCTGGAGCGGAGGCGGCTCCCTTATTACTTGACAGTGTTTCTTTTTCTTCTGTGTTCGTCCACAGCGGCCAAGTTGAATGATGCTGCCTGGGGCCCCACCGATCCTGAGACGCTGTCCCCCCCGGCTCCTGTGCTGGCTCCTGCCCCCCTTGTTTTTGCAGCCAGGGGTGATGGGGGGCGCGGGGCGGACTCAGGCCGGGGAGGTGAGGCCCTGCCTGCTGGTGCCCCGGCACAGGGAGCCCCTTGGGCTGAGCACCAAGACCTTGAACCTTTTTTGTTTCACCTTTTTTCCAGTTAACTGTTTGCAGAAACCTCAGTGGAATTCTGGGCTGGGTGGGGGCGGGGGGAGGCGGGAGGACCATGCATTAGGCCTTGGAGTTGATGCAACCGTTCTGACTCTCCTCCTTAGCCGTGTTTAGGGGCTGGGGCTTGGGGAATAGACGGAAGACGAGGGCATCTGATTGGCCTCTGTAGGAACACGCTCTGCTGGCCTCTGTGCCTGGGAACCTGGGTCAGAGAAGGCGACTTGTCGGCTGACTGACCAAGGGCACGGAGCCTCTGGTTCTGCAGAGCATGCAGTGTGAGCTGTTCATTAAAAAGGAAAACCAAGTGCTGACCTTGGAATAGATTTGCTGTGGGGTCAAGGGCAGGGGCAGTGGCAGGGGGAGGGGCCATGAGTGTGGGGAGCCCCACAGAGCCCTGGGAGACGTTTTTCAGTTTTGGAAATTTAAAAAAAAACCTACAGGAAAACCCAGCTCAGAAAGACTCTGAAGTGGTTGGTGTGTTTTATTGGGGTCTGGGTTAAGGGAGGACACGAGCCTGGGGTCCCGTGGGGAGCCTCCCTCCAAAGGGCCGGGCAGGGGTGTGGGGTTCAGACCAGACCCTGCCGCCTTCACAGCTCCTGCAAGAGGTGCTGCCTTTGGAGTTCAAGTCCAAGTAGACCTGTGGCATTTGACCCTCGTGGTTTGTTGGCACCGAGGCTTCATCCAGACAAGGACAGTCACTCCTTCCCACTCAGGCTGCCACTCACAGTACTGCTTGGGGCCATAGCACGTGCCCAGAATGGAATGGCCCAAATTTGGCCCAGCACTACAAGCCTGCAACCCCCTCTCCTCCACCACGGCTCGGGGGTCCAAGGAGTAGCCCCTATTTGGAGATTCAAAACAGGGCCTGGAGTCATGGTACAGAGGGAGGGTATACTGTGGCTGGCCCGGGTTCAACCCCCAGCACCCCATGTGGTCCCCCCGTACCCTGCCAGGAGGAAGGCCTGAGCACCACTGGGTGAAGCCCCGAAAACAACTCCCCAAAAAAGGCAACAACATACAACGCATGTCTTGCTTTGCATATGTGGGGGTTTGGCCTCCAGCTCCCACTCTTGTGTGTGTACACCACGCACACAAAAGTTGCCCTGCATGTAAAGAAGTGTGACCTGACAAGCCAAAGGAAAGCAGTGACCCTTCCCCAGTGCCCTCCCTGCCTGTTTGCTGGCCGCCGGCCCTGGCCAGGACTCGCAGGAACACACGTTTCCCTCCAGCCTGTAGGAGGCATCACCAAAGGAGAGGCCAACTGGGCGCGTGCCCCAGAACCCCTGCCCCTGCCGATTCCACCTTCATATCAGTTCCTGCCGCTCACCTGTGTGGCGCCCCAGGGCGGACTGAGCTGTACGGGACAGGGGGCCGCGGCCAGAACAGACCTTTCTGAGAACTGCCTTCCTGCTGAGGGAAGAGTTCTCCAGAACAGCGGAAGAAATGTTCTCGGAAATGCGATCAAACTGGCAAGAACATGGGCTGGAGCGAGAGGACCCTGGGGAGAGTGCTCGCCCTGCACATGGCAGCCCCCGGTGCCGTCCCTGGCATGTCTCTGGTCTGCTAAGCACTGCCAGGAGTAAGCCCTGAGCATCAACAAGTGTAACCCCAAAACAACAATAGTCCATTCAATAAGTACGTTTAATAAATCGTCACGTGAGTTTTCAGCAACAGGTGGTTCCTGACTGCTTTCCTGGTTGAGCCGGGACTCACGATCCCTCCTGCTTCGTCTGGTTTGGTTTATGTCGGTGATGCCAGGAGTGGCCTGGGGCCTCCACTTGGCTAGTGTTGTCAGCCCGTGCAGACGGCAGTGGAAAGTCAGATGGAGGCCACGGCAAGAGACTAGGGGCAGCTGACTGGACGGGACCGCAGGAAAGAACCAGGATGGGCAGGTTGGAAACTGAGCTGCGCCGTGGCTCCCCGTCTCTCTGGGCAGGCTGGGCAGAACAGAGCTAGGTCCCCTCGCCCGGGAGCTACGCTTTGAAGAAGACAAAGTTTGCTATAGAAGGTGTAAATGCAAAAGTCTTATTTTGAGGAAGTGCCTTGACCACACCCAGCAGTGCTCACGATCACTCCCTCTGCTCAGGGCTCACTCCTGGCAGGGTGGAGGGGACCATGAGGAGTACCGGGGGTTACAGTGGGGTCAGCCACAATCAAGGAAGGTGCCTTAGCCACCGTGCTGTCTCTCTCACCCTAAACTCGCCCACTAGCAGTGATCCTGGAGGACAGAGGCAGGAGTCAGGCCTGTGCACCGCCAGATATGACCCCAAAACAAAAGAGCCAAACTCAGCCTTTCTGCACAAGAACCATGAACTACTGCCATTGAGCTATCTCTGGTCCTGAGCTCAGATCTTACACTCAGGAACTCCATAGACTGTGTGTGTCTGAGGTTAAGGTGTTCTGGTGTGACAAGATTTGTGAGTCTTCTTAGTCAGACTCCCCAACCAGGCCCATGTCTTCTTTCTGAGCATATCTGGATCACTCAGTGCAGTGTCATCTTTGTACAGGCCAGGAGGCATAGGAGTTGACTTAAAAGGTTGCAAGACTTACTGACGAGTTTATGTTGATAATCTAATCTTTCATGTGATTTTTCCATTATTCCTGATTCCTGCTCTTGACCTTAGGAATCCTGGGCTTTGGGGCCAAAGAGATAGTTCAGGATGTAAGGCACTTGTGTGTGACTGGCCCCGGTTTGATCTCAACATTCCATCTGAGCACTGTCAGGAGTGATTCTTGAGTACCTACTGGTGCTCAGACCCCAAACAAAAGACTTTTTAAAAAGAAATCCTGGGGCTGTGGGGGGAGGCCAGAGCAATTCTACAGCAGGAAGAGTGCTTGCCTTGCATGTGACTAACCTAGGTTCAAGTCCCAGCATTTCATACAGTCCCCCAAACCCATCAGGAGTACATGTGTAAGCCCTGAGCATCACTGGGTGTGCCCCCCACCAAAAAAAAAAAATCCTGGGGGCCACAGAGATATAGGAAAGCAGATAAGGCACTGGCCTTGCATGCAGCCAAACCAGGTTCCATCATTGGCACCACATTTGGTCCTCTGGGCCCCACCAGGAATGGTCCATGAGGACAGCCAAGTGTGGCCTCAGAACCAAAATAAAATGATTAGACTGGGGCCAGAGAGGTAGTACAGTGGGTAGTGCACTTGCTGTCCACACAGCTGACCTGTTTTTTGTTCCCTGAACGTAGCCAGGAGTGCCTCAAAAAATAAATACCATTTGGAGAGAGTGTAGGTGTTTGCCTTGTATGCAGCTAACCCCAGTTCAGTTCCCACAGGCCACCAGGAGTCACTTCCTGAGCATTGGGTGTGGCCCCCAAATCTCCTCCTCTAAAATTCCCCAAACTTGCCATTCTTTCACTTCCGTCGTCTGTAACTGCAGCAGAAGTGGGGGACCTTTTTTCCAGCCATCTGGAACCACATCACCTGTGGGCCATCTGACACAGGCAGGCAGGGCCATGGGCAAACATTAGCTTCATTCGTGCCTGGCCTAGCATGTATCAGGGCCGGTTTGCAGGATTTCTCAAGCCTCATATGGACCACTGTCTGGACATTTCCCCCCCCACAGCAAAGGAGACCATCAGAGCAGACTGCAGTGACTGGCTTTCGAACACCCAGTGAATTCCAGGGCTCTGCTTAGAGGGAGGGTATGCTGGTGCAGGACTGGAGTTATTGTCATTCCTGTCCAGGTGCATTTATTTCAAGCGGAGGTAGATTGAGCATGGACAGTGTCAGAGAGCCAGCCTGAAGGATTTGACAGTGAGCCAGCCCCTCGGTCCTGCCGCCCTCTGCTGGCCCTGGCAAGGAAAGCGAGGTGGGGAAGCCAAAACTAGATTATGGCATGCAGAGAACAAGCAAATCAGCATTCTGCAGAATTCCAAGAGCGAAGAGAATGAAGAGTGGGTTGCGTTAGCTGAATTTCTGTGGAAATGGGGGACATAGAAATAAAGGTAAGATGAAGCTTAGCCCCCTTGGACAGCAGCATCCCTAAGCTATGATCGAACACTCCCTTGGAGGTCGGGACTAATAGCTGTTGGAGATGTCGGGCAGTGGACAGTGTAACAGGTGATGGCGAGGTCTGGACCCTCTTGGAACTGGCACCTCTACATGCAGCATGTGACGGACAGTCTGCCACTAGGCAGTAGGGGAAGTTCTCAAAAGGGAAAATTCAGGGGCCAGAGATACAGTACAGCTGTCAGGGTTCTTGCTCTGCATGCGGCCAACCCAGATTCAATCCCCGGCACCTAGATGGTCGGTCCCCTGAGCACCACCAGGTGTGATCTCTGAGCACAAAGCCAGGCGTGGTCCCTGAACACAGATGGGTGTGTCCCAAAAGCGAAAAAAAAAATGGTGGGAGGGAAGAAGGAGAATACAGAGGTCTGGAATCATTAGGCAGATATTAGTGGAGGAAACGAAAGGTAAACAGCTTTGGAGAACGGACAGTTTTGTTTATTTGGGGGTTTTGAGCCATACCCAGTGGTGCTCAGGACTTCTTGCACTGCACTCAAAAATCACTCCTGGCAGTGCTCAGGCGACCAGTCACATCTAAGACAAGCATCTTAACACCAGTACTCTCAGGGCTGGAGAGATAGCACAGCGGGTAGGGCGTTTGCCTTGCACGCGGCCGACCCGGGTTCGATTCCCAGCATCCCGTATGGTCCCCTGAGCACTGCCAGGAGTAACTCCTGAGTGCAGAGCCAGGAGTAACCCCTGTGCATCGCCAGGTGTGACCCGAAAAAAAAATAAAAACACCAGTACTCTCCAACCAAAAAATGGCTGAATTTGTTTATTGGGCTATTCCCTATATATGCTCAGGGCTTACTCCTAGCTTTGCACTCAGGGATCACTCCTGGCTGGGCCCAGGGGACCATATGTGGTACTGAGCATCAAACCCAGGTCAGCCGTGAGCACTCTACCCACTATACTGTCCACCCCAAAGATGGGAAGGTGTTAAGCAGTCCAGTTCAACTATCAATAAGTACCCACATAAAAGCCAAGTGCTGTGATGAAACGAGGTCAG